CTCAACGGCGGGGGCGTGCAGGAGCTCGGCACGCACGACGAGCTGCTGGCCCTCAAGGGCTTGTACGCCACGTAAGTTATTTAGTGTTTCACATGAAGAGCTGGTTGCAGCTGCAGCAGCGGTGGTTGCCGTTTTGGTAGACGTTTGTCATGCTACACTCGTTGGCTGTGGTTGTATATTTTTCATGCTACCTGACGCTTGTTGCTTTACCCTTCTGTTGCTCTGAATAGCGTAAGAAGTATCTCACTTATCATCCCATTTTCGACTCCTTCTCCCGTCTCCGAACATGGTACGCTTCTTGCTTCCTTTTTGTTGCTCTGAGTACCGTATGGCGCACTCATCATCCCGTTTTCTCCCCCGCTTCCTGTATCCCGACAACCCATCTTCGTGGGAATCCCCCAGGTTGTGGAACCAGCAGACGAGCAAGCTCACGGGCGAGTAACAGGGCGACGGCTTCGGAATCATCTCTCGTCGTCTTCGCCTCTCTTGAGTATTTCCATAATTTGTGTCAGTGTTTGGAGGCTTTTTCTTCTTGTCTGCAGAAAACTGTCGCCTCCCACGATCGCAACAAAAAATGGTAGGACGGGGGGTTGGGCAACCGCGTAGAGAAACTGCGTGGACTCGCCCGTCAATGCTCTATTACACGGGGCCCAACCAACCTTGTTCTCGTCGATTTTCTCAGTATTCTGCTCTATGGGGGGGCTTGATTGACTCTAAGGTTGTTTTGTTGAAGACTGCAAGAGAAATCGGCATCTATGCATCTTGTACCTTTGCAGTGTTTCTGAAATACGCAGCTGGTATTTGGCATGTAGCTGGAATTGAATAGAGTCCCACGTGCAGGAAGGGGTATTTTCCGCCGTACACAAGCGTGTGAAGATGGTATAGCTGGAATCGCATGTGTGTTTTGCCCCCAAGACTGGTGCAATCGGTGCTTTTGTGAGACTCTTTGGAAATAGTCCCACGTGAAAGATATGGGTTGCAGAGGAAGTGGGGGTTCGTTTTCGCGGTACACGATGGGATGTAGCTGGGATCGATCGTGTGTTTTGTATGTGTTTTCCTCACGACATGTAGGTGCGATGGGTACGTTTGTGAGACCCTAGAGAAGGCGCCGGTCTCATGACCCATCGGCACACGGCGATGAAGATGTTGGGGGGGCGTTTTCAGAGTACGAGCTGGTGGGTGTGTTTGCTCTTCTGGCTATTGTATTTCTATCCGAAACGGCTGATGTCTTTCCGAAACGGCTGGGTGGCCGAGAGCCGTTTCAGAAATGGCGTTTTCCGGTGCAACTTTTTGTTTCTGTTGCGTTGGTGTGTTGGTGTTTTGTCACATTCTTTTCCATCCTTTACGTAACTTTCGTTTCCAGAATAGATGGAATTTCTGCGCCACTTTTTTGTTTCCATTGCGATTGTGAGTTTCGTGTTAAGTCATCTTATTTTTCTCCCTTTTTCGTAACACTTTGGGGGACGCTAAGCTATCCTTCGGATCAAAAACAGAAATAGCAGCAACAGAAGAAAACTGCACCCGTCTACCAAGGCTATTACCTAGTACTCGAGTTTGTTTAGGAGTACTTTTACCAGTGTCCTCCTTGTTTTCGCTCCCATCATTCTGATCCTCATTTCGACAAGAAGAATCTCTGGGCAGTTCTTCCCTAGCCCTACGTTTCTTGTTGTGGGGAAGGTCATCTGGCTCAAACCCTTTGCTCTCTTCCACTCCTCCATGTTTTCCTGCTCCATGGTCGTCTTCGTCCTCCTATCTTCCCTTTCCCTTTCCTTCGTCTCCGTAACTCCCAATAGAATTACCCTCATTAATATCGTTGTCGCGGAGATCCCAACCGTTTGGCCCTGGTGGAAGTCGGTCGATCAGAAGCCCATGAATTTTGAACACATGGCGAGTTCGCATCGACAGAAAACGAGCTAGCTCGAAGGTAAACCGTCTCCGAGTCCTGTTACAAGTATGAAAGGCTTTCAGGCGAACTAATGCTCTTTCGTGGTCAAAGTTCCCCCGGCAAAAAGCTTCGTGCGCCAAGTGATTGGCGACAGCAACGATGAGTCGATTGGCGCCTTTGCCAAGACCACCATTCGTTGAAAAAGCAGCAGTAAGGAGGGTAGATCTAGACGAGTTGAAAGTTCTCGCATAGTGCTTTGCCTCACTTACAGCTCGATCTTCGAGGGCGGATCCTGTCTTTTGAATCGACTTGTCTATGCTTCGACCTGCGGATGGGTTGCGTGTGTGTATGCGTGTGTTTGTGTGTGTTTGTGTTTTACGTAACTTCGGGCGCTGTATTTTCTTTGCTTCTGCCAGAAAATTATTGAGAGAAGCTCCGGGCTCGACCTACCCATTTCACGAAAATGTCCGCAAGCTGCTTGTGAAGGGGTATATAGGTCTGCAATTGATATGAGCTGCTTCCAATGAAGCATAATGAAAACCAGGGTTCAACGAGTTTTCCGCTTTTTGTTTGTAGGGCGCGTTGAGGACGAGTACAAAATTGATGTCCTGTACCCATTTGCAAGGGAAGCCGCTCTCGAGGCGGTGCATACGCGAGAAGTACCGCAGGAGGGGAGGGTAGAGAGGTGCTCTTCTGTGTGACCACGGGTTGGAGTAAACGGCACCAGTGCTGTGAGCGCTGATTTGAAGTGAACACAGAAGACAAAAAAAGAAAACGCGAGATGGGATAAATATTTTCTGCCACGTACCTTTTTGCGATCGTAGTGTTGAGTGCTTCTTTTTCTTTCGTCTCTTGTTGGAGAAATGGCGCTAGGCATGTTTGCACCTGGCTGAATTGGGGTCGCGGCGACGGTCGTCTGCATGTGTCCCTTTGTCCCTTTAGTTCGTTGGAGTTTATCGTCACCACACCTGGACCACAAAACGTCTTTTGTGACGACACGGGCACGCGTGGCAAGATGTATCATATCAACTTTTGGGCGCGCTTGAATGTTGCTCGGATGCGCGTCTTTCTTCTTCCTCTCTCTGCTGATGGCATAGTGTACTAGATGGAGGGCATTTTCGCTCCTAGAGGCGAGTTTCATTGCAGTGCGGCTTGCGTGATGAGCGGCCAGTGCTCCGGGACATTTTATGCTTTCAATCACGCTGCCATTTCGTTTTGTTGTGTCCACATTTGGTCGTGTGCCTAGGGGTTATTCACGTAGTGAACACACGCCGTACGTATTGGCTAGACCCTTGACCTCGCATTTCTATGTACAATGCTACAGACTATTCTTTTAAACGTATGCCGTTATCGCTAGACTTTTGACCTCGCACTCCTACAATGCTACATTTTTTCGTGTAAAAGCATGCCGTAATCGTTAGACCGTTGACCTCGCATTCCTACAATGAACGCTGTATTTGTCTAAACGCATGCCGCACGTAGTGGTCAGACCGTTGACCTCGCATTCCTACAATTTCGAGACGAAGCGATATGCCGGGCTTGGTGTTTTCTGTACCAGTCGTCCCCCCCCCCCCAAAAAAAAAAAAATCAGATTCACTCTCTTAGGAAGAGCATTCTTTCCCAGACCACTCCATGTATAGGATTTAGTTGGGTGAGGCCTCCTGCACCGAGGAGTGCGAAGGTGTACCGATTTAGGTAAAAGTCAATCGACTGATACCCTGCGAATCGGGTCCTCCTCAACACTCTCCACCAACAGAAAACAGCGTAACTGGGAACTAACTGGGAACCTCTTGTGGCCAGGATGGGTAATTCGATGGAAGTGTCACAAGATTCTTTGTAGGGTCGACTCCAAGAGGTGTTCTCAGGAATGACACACATTGTGTCCATGGGAAAATGTCCAAGTCAGGAGAAAAAGTGTGCACCCAAGGAGATTCGAGTCACTATCCAGCTGACGCCACATGCGAAGGTGTACCGATTCAGGTAAAAGTAAATCGACTGATACCCTTCGAATCGGGTCCTGCTTAACAGGAGGGCCTCGTCGTGAAGTGACTCTTTGGCGTGGGCATAGACTATTGCTATGTGCCCAGACCCAACGCGTCTGAATGATCAGTGAGGTCATGAATGTATGTATTTGTAGGGCGGGTGGGATGGTCGCAGATAGTTATCTTTTCCTGCTCCGGCACACATTTCGGGAGAGAAAGGGGACTGAACAAGGTGAGAATCATTTTTCAACATGCGTCATGGGATATCTGACTCTCTCCCGATTTCGTTCCGAAAATCTGGATTCGTTTCAAATCCGAGATTACTGCACGAAATATTTTATGAACGCCCCTCGTTTGGTTGAACGAGCGCCGTTCTTTCTTCCTAAACGCCACTGTAGCTTTGACCTCGACTTCTGTTAATCCGACCTTGTCTTGTCGCCCTCCCTGCCGACCGCTGAGTGCATGCGAACATACATGGGGTCGCGCCAACCGTCTACACACCCCAGGCACAGCGGTTGGCCCAGGTCGTTGGTACCCCGAGATTCACTTTGAGGAACAAGAATCAGACGGAAGTACCGACAGGTGACACCAGGTTAAGGTTCCACACACCCAGGTCCGACTCTTAAAAAGCTCGACTACCCGACGAAGGGGTTGTCAATACTGTAATCAAGTGGTATGTTTTCGGAAAGATCTCGACGAGACGGTTCCAACGAAGGCGTTTTCGGCACAGCAGTCACTCTTTTCTCCTGCGGAGAAACCGAGCTGACAAATGGCGGTTCATGGGGAAACTTGTGTCAACTACCGTTGGTTGCGTACGCTTTCTGAAGCATGCGTCTCGCATGGTAAGCAAAAAAGGCCGCCGCCTCGTGAGTGATACATGGGCTCGAGTCGGGTTATCGTGCCGTGCAAGAGGTGTCCCGACCAGACCGCCGGCGATCGGCAACCCTGCACAAGCTCCTACGGAGATCAATTATCTGATTGAAAATATACCCCATTTTCGTCTCTGCACCTGTTCTACTGATGGCATGCAGCCCTGACAACGCGCAGCCAGGGAGGCCAACTCGCCACAGCAGAGGACGATGCACAGGTTCGCCAAAGGAGCAATTCTACCTCTTGAGCTACCTGATGCGATGCCACGCCTCACGTCGAGAGCAAACGCAGGCAAAAAACACACTGCCGTCCAAGGGCATCACGTCGAGGGCAAATGCACGCAAGAAACACAATGGCGTCCAAGGGCATCAAACAGACAACATCACGTTCCATACAAGAGACTAGCAATTGAGAACAAGGAACTCACTCCAACCAACAAAAAAAACTGGCCCAAATTACCGTGCCGAGAATCCGGGCACTTTTGTGCTGCAAAACAGGCTAACTCGCCCATTTTCCCTTACGACGCAGACCGCGCCATCCTCCCGGGAAATACAAACTTGAAACACCCGACAATGCCCTCCCTCCGGCTTCTTGAGGACACAAAAATTAGACCAAACGAATAACAGCACACAACTGTTCTTGACCATCTCTACTGTGAAAACACATCGGTTCTGTTCTTGAACATCCCTGAAAAAATAGCGGGTTTGACTGATTCCTTCAAGTAAAAAACGAACGGTCAGAACAACAGTCCCAACCATCATCTCCGGCAAGTTTTCGAGGCATGGGCCCGACGCGGGCACTAAGCACAAACACGTAGAGCAGCATTACAACATGCAAACATACACTCAACGAAGGCCTGACAGAGGACGCCGCCCATCTCTGCAGTTCGCCGCAAAACTCTACCGCCACGTCTTTGATCCCGGCTACTAGCAGCTTTCATGACAGCAAACAAATGCACCGTCCTCTCTATTACCCCTCCCAGCCAACGCGGCAACACCCTAAATCAACAATTTCACGCCGCAAACAACACCACAAAGAAAGAAAGAAATATACGGCACCGCGGAAAGGTGCCGCAAGCGAGGCATCTCACAAGGCCCTTGCCTTTTTATCGGTGGCGCTCTCCTCATGCCCCTTTTGCGTTTTCCCGAGATTTGCAGCCCTCTGCACGTCTTTGGTCGTCACGTCCCAGCCTTCCGCCGGCGAGAAGTGGACGAAAATGTTGGCGAATCTGCTGCCCTGGAATGCCTGCGGTCTGCCGTGGATGACGCTCGCGCTCTCGTAGAAGATTATCTCTCCAGGCTGTATAAAGTACAGTACGAACAAAACGAAAACGTCAAAATCGGGTCAGCTCTTTTTCTGCATGGCCACAAGTACTGTCGGGCACGGGTTGTTCGAGAGTGTAGGGTCCACCGCTGAGCTTTGTTTCTTAAACCTATTCTCTGATTTGTCGTGAAATTCGAGCCTCTGTCTTTGGACGACATATTTCTTAACTTCGGGCCCATCTTCTTTAGTGTTTTGCCGTGAGGGCATATCAGTGTCCGGAAAAAGTACAGTGAAAAATAAAATAATCAACGTTTAGTTGGGGCCGAAATACAAATTCAGTGCTGCCGGGAGGGCATATCAGTGTCCGGAAAAGGTACAGCGAAAAATGAAATAAATGTTGAAAATGGCGCGCCGCATTGAGAGGTTATTCACCCCTGAAGAAAGCGGGGTCCCAACGAATAACTACTTACTGCTTTGGACGCGCGGGTTTCGCAAGCAGAAACCCACCTTCACAAACCAATATGTACGAGGTAGAACAAGTAACCGTCGTCTAGTGATCAAGTCAAGCGCAACGTACGCGTCGTGTGAGACTGCCTACGCAAACGTAAGTTTTTTACGAGAAAAAGACCAGGCAGGGGACATGCTGACCCTAACCCTAACCCTAACCCCAACATCACGGATTCTACCCTGTATTCAATATGGTTTGCTCACATCGAACAACCTGCATAAACCACTGACCGTGGCCGACCCTTCAATGTTCCCTTTCGTGGATGTGAAGGCACAAAAAAGTACTCTCACCTCAATAAAGAGGTCTCTGGCAACACCATCGTGGCCGCGGACATACAAACCCCAGTCCGTGTCCACATTCTCCTGGGGGGGGGGCGGGGGGGGGTGAACAAGAACAACAAGAAGAGCACGGAAGGAAAAAAGTTGTCACACACAAGCATGAGGTACTACTGTCGTCATGAAAAAGCTTTGGTCACCGCAAAACACACACCTACACAACGCCTTACCCCGTGATTAGAAAGTGTTGGTGTTTGTTATCCCGCTACAATGGTCAGCCGGCTACCATAGCGCGGTCGATGCTAAGCAAGAAAACACACATATTGTACGGTCCAGGTGCCTGCCAAAAAAATCCCGCATAACCCCGTCCCACGAACAGTATCCGGCGCTTGCACGGAGCGCATCATGAAAGGGCACACAACACAGCACAATCTACAAAATCAGATGCATAGCTTAGCGGTACTCTAGGTTGGCCAATGACATGACAGACTTGACGTACGGCTGCTTCCACGGTCACCGTGTACGGTTGATATGTCGCGCGGTACAGCGGTTCCTACGGTATGGAACGTGGGTAACCGCACATTTATGGCCAGTCGGAGATACACATCGAGGTTTGCACGGTGTAGTTCTCGCGTGGGCTACAGTACATGCACACAACTTTCTGATGAGGAGTGCTGACCAACACCATTGTCCCGAACCAGAGTCATGTTGAAGAAAGTCATCTTGATGCCAAAATAAAGACGGATCAAGAGGCACGCGCCTGCTCCACGTTGATGATTGCGGAGATGACGTGCGTGTCGACCCGATCGACGTGGTTCGCGAGGATGCTGCCCCTGTAGTAGTGTCGCACCCCGTAGCATGCAGTAGACTTGAGCTTGATGCCGGACCACTCCTCCATCACAGGAAGCAGGTCCTGATACAAGCGCTGCATCAGCACCACCGCGTACACACGTAGACGTGGAGACGATTAAGAAAGAAAGAAAACAAGAATGGCGGAAACCAAAAAAATTGGGACATCGGAAGCGTGCAAAAATGTTTGGATCTGACATTTATGAGTTTTCTGTTGTGTTTCTCAATTCTTCTTTATTGGGGACAGCATATCCAGATCACATACAAGACTGCCACGAGCAACCGGTGAATCAGTCACTCCAAGACTCCACCTCGGGAGTTCGCGCGTTCGTTCATGTCATTCTTCGTTCATGTCATTCTGCCTCGTACAATGTAATGTCTCTGTTTGCGTTGCGCCTAATCTTCGCTCCAGCCATCTACACGGTACAAGAACAAACAGCGGACCTTCGGACGAGTCCTTTGCAAGACAAGACTTCAGAGAATCAATCCACCGAAACACGATCGTCCTTTGCAAGCCAAGGCTCCGATCCAAATCGCACGCTTCCTCAACTCACCCTGTGGATCCTCGTCGGCGCGGCGGTCATCTTGGTATCGACCTCCCAATGGTTAACGTAGGTGTTGTCCGGGGCCCACTTTTCGGTCACGGGCGCCTTGTTTTCCATCTGGCTGTGGTACCACTCCATGAGGTACGCGTAAGTGTCCGGGTTCAGCTTCTCCTTCTTGTACCCAAGCTGCCGTGAGGGTACCAAAGCCGTGGCCGAATTATCATGTTCTCGACGTTTGTTAACGTGAACGTTTGCGTGTCAGCGTGTCGGTTTCAACGTGGAGTTCGTTTCGATTCGCTGTTGCCAAGGGTAACCGGTCCGAAGTACTACAATTTTACTCGAGGAAATCTTTGCAACACGTATCGTGTGGCCGTTGACGAGGGCGAGTCATCATGTCGTTGGTGTTGTTAGCGTCAAGCTTTGTTGGGTGTCATCGTGGGTGTCATCGTGGGTGTCAATGTGGTGTACTGCTCGAACCGCCCTCGCGAGGATTTTATTACTTCTATTAAACTAGGAAGTAGAGAGGGGGATTGCGTATCCCTATCCCTAATCCCCAACCCCATTCGGTACCCCCTACAAAAAACCAAGCATAGTATCCCCCTCGAGGGCTGGTGTTCTGTGTTGTTCTTTGTTGATGTGGTGGGGAAACCCAGAGGAACGGGCTGTTGTACTTCTCGAGAAAATCTTGGCAACACCATGCCACGTTACGGCTGCATGCGGGCATGAAAATGTGGCACGTCATGCTCAGCGAAGGTGCCGATGGAGATCTTCCTGTCTACGCCGCCTTCATTTCCCATCGGCCCGAGGCGAAAATCTTTCGGAGAGCAACGGAGTCACGATAATAACCCTTATTGTGCAGCATGACTGCAGCTGCCTGTTGTTAGACGGCTTGAGGGGAAATGTGTTTTTCGCGCGTTTCAGTCTGACCCGGAAGGGTTTGCTTGCTCCCTCAAGCGATTCCGGCGTGCAACCTAACCGTCGCACTCAAAAAGTAAAACGCAGCGTTGGAACAGTCACTGTATAGACTCATCAACACATGCCGTCGAAAACAGTCACTGCAAAGACTCATCAACACATGCCGTTGAAATAGTCACTGAAAAGACTTACCAGCACATCTCTCCGAAACAGTCCCTCCTGTAAAGACGTCATCAACACATCCCTTCGATCGGGGCATTCTTTCGAATGCCTTGCCTTTTCTGCTGTTGTATGGATATTTTCGTAAGTTGTAAAATCAAACACAACCACCACCAAAACCACCAAAACGTGAAAAGGGAATGTTGTATGTTTGTCGTACTTGGGAACGATACCCGATCTGGCCCTTACGGGTATGCATGTGGTTGGGGTCCAAGTGCTGCCCCCCCCCCCGTGAGAGAATCGACCGCCGTCGCGGGATCAACAAGTTAATGATTAAATAGAACAGGGAGGAAGTACGCACCAAGGGGCTCTCCATCTGGAAACGCCGGAACACCCCTGGGCTACGTGTCAATCTTGGTCCCGGGGGGGGGATGGGCCTTAAATGTCCCCGGGCGGGGACATCTTGAAAAATCCCCGGGGTTTCGATATTTTCGGGCGCTTTTTTCAGCGCGCGCGCGCGGGATCCCACACAGAGCTAGTGGAAATGATGGAAACACCCAAGAATACGCGTCAATCTTGGTCGCGAGGTCTAGTGTGTGGTGTAGGAAACAGTATGACGACAAGAAGCCTACAAATGTGTGAAAGAATTTGATGAGTTTTAAAATGCGGCACGCAAGTATATTCAATGAAGAGTATTTCGGTTTAACTATGTACACACTAAATCCTATACAATGTACTGCTGCAAGCGTGCTGCCTAAATCCCCTATACTACGTGTCAATGTTGGCCCGGGGGGGGGGGGGGTTCCATGGTTTCCAAATGGAGGGCCCCTTGTACGCAGACTCTATCCCCAAACCCTAACTCAACTTCCCCGATTGCATGCTTTATCCAACATATTTTCTTTATATAGAAACCCTGCGAGGGCTACTGGAGAGGTCCTTGTCTGTGGGGCGAGCATCCTTGTTGTGTGAATTTTACATGAGATGGCTACGCGCATTCCTGGGAAACCAAAAACCATACTCAACACCACGCGCTGAGGGCGGTTGCGCAACCAACATTCTTAGAAAACACACATAAGATCACACAAAGGAAGACTGCCCGTTCGAGACATAACCACAGCAGTCGAAAGGGGTGCGCAGAAGTCGTCATATGTAGTGGGTAAACAGATACCAAATTACTAGCATACCTCGGTAAACTTTGGCACCGTGACTGGTTGGTACTCGTTAAGCATGACCCGGCTCCGCTCGCTGTTGATGCGCTTCCACACGATGCCGATTTCCTCCTGCCACATCTTGTTCAGGGTACCGTTGGCGCGGTTGTACTCGCCTCGACAGGACGACCCCACGTTGCAAACGGCGAACTGTTGTCGCGAAACAAAACAAGTTCCGGTTCGCGGCAAACAGACGTGTATGTCGCTCGAGTGTGTAAATCATTCGTGGGTTGCGTCATATATATTGGGAGTATGGACGAGACAAGCATATTCAGATGACTTGGTAATTCCGTATGTGCCCGCCGAAAACACCGCGGCACTATTCCGGGCCTTGGCATATGTTGTAAGTTGACTGCAGTGTGCAATTTCAAAAGAAAACAAGAGCAAAAAAAACGTTTCGGTCCTACGGCAAAAACGATTGTAGAACGAGGACACACGAGGGGGGTACGCCTCTACGGACGTTTTCATACTGGAAAACGAGACGCGGCCAAGCTTGAACCTTTGTCAAAGGTTCGCCCGTGGGCTCAGGGGGGATAAAGGATTCCGATAAACTAACGGCCAGGTGTCGCCCATACGTACAGGTATAAGATTTGGTCACTTTTCATGCCTCGGCATTTCTTCCTCTCGCCGTAGCGAGTCGTTTCCCGCGATTCCTTCTTAGGGGTACGCAGGAGGCTCGTCGGTACATCAACGCTCGTTCCCGGAGCTCGGCAGGCCACCGTGGCGCATGTGGTTGGTTCTAAAAGCGAAAACTGGCTCAATACCCAGGGGACGCGTTCCGCGACGACAAAGCCTGCCGAACCAATTCTGAAAACTCTCTGCTACATACCACCCGCTAGGAGATATTTTTCCCGTAGGTTTTGACATGGACACCACAGCAGCATCAACAACGCACTCCGAGTTTTTTCCGAATGGCTGTGGGCCATGACGGATAACACAGCAGCATCAACAACGTACTACGCGACATATGCATCTGCATCAGTACTCCTTCTCGGGGCTGGTCAACATGTGTAGGCTAGAACTACAGTATGTGCCTCAGCTGATGTGCCTATCACATGGGCAAGTCCGATTTAAATTGACGTCAAAAGCCAAAATCTGCACCAAAGCAAAAAAAAAATAAATCTGCCGGGCCATACAAAAACCCCTGCTATAACTGCTGGGTCTTTCGGTCATACTCTTTCTACTTCCTCCTGTACCCCTCCGGCTGTACTGCCGCGAGCAAAAAGTCTACCGTTCCCCCCCCCCCCCCTCACAAATCACAGCTAAAATAGCTCGCACCGCCAGAGCAGCCTGCACCCTCTTTCTCTCCTCTATCAATGTACGCCATACATCAACGGCTCGTCAAACCCGCGCCGACGCCGCGAGCTCCGCTGACAAGTCATCGTCCTCCACCTCTGGATCCTCTTCGCGGAGATCTCCACCGGCTGCGTCTACCCCGCCGCCCGCGAGGGGTGCATCCCCATCCACCTCGCCGCCCGCGAGGGGTCCCGGAACGACAAAATTGGAAGACCTCACTGAAACAGTCTACCCCGACCTCTTAGAAGCTACCCACAAGATCTACAACGCGCTTGGCATTCTAGCACCCACAAATGACAACATTGACCAGACTAATGGCTTCAGCCTTCGTGAAATGCCAGGAAGTGTTCACGAACAACTTAGTTCAGGCAAGATCATCAAAGACGACGAAAACATGCCAGCCAGATGTTGTTTCCGTCGAACACCTCAGTAGCATCAACGTCCCCGGCACGACACCGCACAAACTCAATCTCAAAGTTGGAGTATTGATCTTCATCAGGAACATTTACTTTGATTGAGTTCTCGTTAATGGCAAACAGGGAGTTATTCGAGGGATATTTCAAGGCGCGTTTTTGACGTTGAAGTTCTCTCCGATGAACCCCATATTATCGTCAAAATACCACGCATCTGCTTCGAAGTTAAAGTGGGAGCGCGCGGTTTTACCTTTCACCGCTACCAATTCCCTGTCAGATCGTGTTATGCTATGACCATCAGCAAGTCCCAAGGACAACCTTTAACCCTGTTGGGTCACAGGCGTCCTGACAGATCATTGATTGATCATTGGCAAATGATGGTGTTGCGGCATGCCATGGAGTTGCCGCCCTGTATCCCTCCACGCCAGGTGTTGGCAAATCAATAGGTAGGTGTGTCTATATTATTCGCATCGACCGCGTACCCGGTGACCAATGAAAAGACGTAACAGTGCCAGCGGGTAATATCAAGATCCCTGGAACGGCCAACATTCGGAAAATGCACACTGCTCTAAGTAAATGCGAATGCCACCATGAATCTCTCCCCGTATCAATTCACAGAGACACACATCAATAGCTCCACACACATGCCTTCGCCCGAATCTAGCAAGCCCAACCAGCCCAGGATATCGTGGAATGCTGCGTACCCTCCAATTTTGAAAATCGTACACTCCCAAGATCCAGCAGTCATCATGTTAGTCGCTATACTTCACAGCAGCAGCAGTATAGACGAGTCCAACATACAGCAGTGACTGTTGTCACACATACACAATCATCATAGCCCCACACACACCCTCGCCCGAACCTAGAGAGCCACTGATGCAAAGGTAGGTGTGTATTGGTGTGCTGGCGTGCTTATGGGAATTGTGGGAAAATCACACGAGCTGTAGTTTTTTTTTCTCCCATCATTGGACTCTGTCGTCTGCCCCTCTGGCCCCTATCCTCCACTTCTACTAGCTAGACGACCCAACCGGGGTCACATAGGGAGGGGGAGCTGGAGCCCCTCCTGCGGTTCCTGCCTGAGGTATTTTTATCGCGAGAAGGGTACAGCAATCCCTTCCCTCGCGGCTTGTGAAGTCGATTATAGTTTACTAACAACGAGCTTTCTTTGCAGCGCGCCGCTTTCATCCTAGACCAGGATTTATTTACTGAGAAANAGGGGGAGCTGGAGCCCCTCCTGCGGTTCCTGCCTGAGGTATTTTTATCGCGAGAAGGGTACAGCAATCCCTTCCCTCGCGGCTTGTGAAGTCGATTATAGTTTACTAACAACGAGCTTTCTTTGCAGCGCGCCGCTTTCATCCTAGACCAGGATTTATTTACTGAGAAAAACTCACCCTGCCGGCACTCGAACCCATGACCTGGCCCTCAGCAGGCTGCGAGGTTACCCACTAGACCACCGGGGCGACCGGCAGAGAAGTACAGAAGTACAAGAACCACCTATGAGTCTACAAGCTCTCTCACTGATCATTTTTACTGATCATTTGAATATACGAAAAATAGAGTAGTTTAGGCGGCTTGACGACTGATCGTTTCGAGGTCTACAAGCCAAGCTAGCCCTACCGGCCGCACCGCGACCACGCATCAACCCTTCTGTGGCCCTGTCTGTGCCCACCGTCCTGTCGCGGGCAGCCCTCATGGCCTATGGATGGAGATAGCTGTTGCGTCTCAGAAGTACACTCTGTCTCGTGCTGCTGTACTTCTGTCTCTCTCTCCCGCACTCTCCCCTCTTTTTTCTTCTCTTCTTTTCGCCGCAAAAAGAAAGAGCTAGACCCAAAGGGTTAACAAGAGTCGGCCTCGACCTCAGGGGATTGGACTTCTGCCACGGTCAGTTGTACGTTGCCGTTAGCCGTACAACATTCAGGGATAATATCCTATGTATGCCACGTTGAACATGATCATCTCGTCAACGACGTCCCCCACGGGCACAACGTCGTCGTCTTCTCTGAGTAAATTGTTGAAGCCACGCCCTACTACTGACATTCAACTACCTCGTCACCATGGCCAGGGCGAAGGATGCAGCGATCAGCACATCGCCCAATGATGGCGACAGCGGTGGTGCGGGCAACAACAACGGTAGCAACGCCAACAACGGGAACAACAATGTCCAAGGATCTTGACAAATTGTCAACGAAATCGGTGATGGGGCATGCCTACTATGCCCGTCGAGTTTTCAACGACCCCAACATGCGCCAACTGGTCAGAACGCAACTCACCGACCACATCAACGACAACCTCCATAACCCCTTATCAGGCTCTGGACAAAACAATTATTACGACTCAATTTACTGGAATCAATTCAGAGAACATTCAAAAAGCTGGTCAACCTGAACAACCCTACCTCCATCTCTTGTCTGTTGCAACTGTCAATCTACGCCAACAATGGCGAGAGATTGCAAAGCCCAACGGTTAACATTAGAATTACCCTCGTCGGCCCACCCTTTCCACCTCCTCCGTCCCATGATACATGTTTTGTGCGGGGCCGAGCACTATCGAACATAAAGATATAATCCATGACTTCTCACCTCTCTGTACTACTACTTGTGTCACCCCCGGGGGGGGCTAACACCCGCGTCCCGCAGGGGAACCTTGTACTTCAACAGTATATTTGCCAACGGCCCAACCTTTTCTCTCATGTAGAAAAAACCACGACTTCATCTCCATCTACAGATCAGAGCATAGCACAAATGAACAATCTTAGTATACAACATTGTTCCACCACCAATGCGTGTAATTACTACAAGTTTAAGTTCAGCACGGTAATCTCGTAGTCTCTTGATCCAAGCAGGGCCCCTCCAAGCTTCCAAAAGGGATGCACAAGATGAATACCAAACTGCCTTGTTGAGCCTGTTACCCACAGGGGAGATATCGTTGTATGCTGCCTGGGAAACCGTAGACATACAGGTATGCATAGCCTTTCGCTCACGCCATGGATTCATTGCTAATCTATCTTAGACTTATTTCTATAGATAGAGATGGATTTGTTGTGTGATACTAAGAAAATAAAAAAAAAAGGGATGCGCAAGCTGTTCAAAAAATAATTTCTCCGCTCCCCCAGACTCTCAAAACGCTAGTGTAGCTCGAACCTGGCCGTCCGTGTCAAAGCATGCCCACGCCCGTCCGCAGCATCGGCACTGCCCACAACCTTCTGCTAGCTATGTACAGGGAGTACCGCAGCAACAACAACCGCGATGACCCATGGTGTTGGTGTTGTCAAGTTGGCTCTGTCTGCTCTTCACCCACCTCATCGTTGGGGAAGACATCAACTTGGCATGACTCCGGCGGGGGATCTTCAGCACCCGCTTTCGCGAGAAGAAGGACGCATCCCACCAGGTGTATCGCCGGTACCGCTATCCGCACCATCGGAGAGAGGACACTGGGCAGGCCAGGGTAGATAGAGTTGGTTGGGTGGGGATGGCTAGCGGCCGCCAGGGAGGGGAGCCGCGATGGGGCTATTGGCGGAGGGGTGTCAGAGGTTTCCAGGAGGTTTGGCAGGCGTTTCATGGGAACTCCGCAGCAGCGAGCAGCAGCTAGCATCGTGCTATTATAGTGTCCTGCTGTAGTGCTGCAAAAAGAGGCAAGGGGCACTAGGTGTGGATGACCTTGAAGATGATCGCGGCCAAGAAGAGCGCAGGCGCTGTCGTGGTCTTCCTGGCGGCATCATGCAGCAAAGCTGTGTCCTTCATGCCCTCTCCATCTAGTACATCCGCTGTGGTAAGTGTTGTCGAGGCAAGTCGAACTCTGGACTAAATACTGCTGTACACATACTTTTCTTTCCAAGCTACTGCTGTAAGCCCTTGATTCTCATTACCATGGGAGGTACAGCAGCCACACACACGGCATTACTGCTGGCGAGCGGGCGTTGTAGACCAGACAGAGGCTAGACGGGATATCGGTGCGTCGATTACCGTGGTTCTCATTTGGCGTTTGCCAGGTGTTGCTGTTGACGTTGAACGTTGAACGTTGAACTCACTCCCGCGAACCGATCGGACAGCCGTGCGGCACTGTACTTCGCACATTGTGGTGTGGCTACGTGGTTACGAGAAAGTGCTCATGGTCTAGTTGCGGTAGGTACTTCAAAGTTCAGCTTTCGACAGCCGTGCCTTGTTGTAGTGATTATAACTCGTCTTGCGTCGGCCGATCGGCTGGTACTGCTGCCGCACACACATCCATGGTGAGATGAGAAAAGAATGGTGGCATGGTGCTCGTAGCTAAGAGTCTGCCGGATCTGCCGTGGACGGTATTTAGCAGCGCAGGTCATCAGCGATGTAGCTGCGTGTGTTCAGCTTTGATAAGTCGGTACCATCGTTGGGAAGAAGACCAGCGAATAATCCGCGTCCCTGCTGTGCTGTTGACCACAGTACCGGGGGAAACACCTCACTCTCGTAGCGGAAAGCGTAGTGGAATCCAAGCTTGATCGTGCGATGCGGCACAATAGGCTGCTTAACCGTCCGTAGTGCCTGCCTTCCATACTTTTGCCGTGGGCAGGATACTACCGTGGGTCGAGTACAGTAAGCGGTGATCTGAGCCGATGGGTTGTGGGCGTTTCTTTTGTTTTACGTGCTGTGGTGAAATGTGTACCGCAGTTCAACGAATCTTATTCTTGGAAGAAGTCCTGTACTGCTGTAAATGGGTTGCCCTATGCATCAGCGGTGGAGCCCCGATTTGTCCAAACGTTAACAACGCGTACCGCACAGGCAATGCGTTGGAACAACGCCGCGACCGAACGCGTTGACCTGACGTAGCTCAAGTACTTTTTCCGGAGTCCCTGACCCCCACAGCAGAGATGGTGCCGGAGCCAGGAACAGAAACGACACATAATGCCGTGTGTGATCTCTCCGATCCCTGTGAGAAAATGCTTTTCATCCTTCTCTTGGTTGTTTTTCGCAAGATGGTGCCATCGCCCAGGAGCCTTGCCAACTATCCGACTATTACGGTATCTATAAATGCCGCATGTACGTTGCGGTATTCGACACACGTTCGTGGCAAAGGTGTTTGTCCAAACACCATCGGTGATCGGTCGTGAGGAAACAATGCCCCGTCCCCGTGAGGAAGCGTGGTCAATAATCTAACAACTGAGGCATGCGAAACATGATTGCGCCCCTACGGCGACTCTGATGTTACTCCAAATAATTTTCGTATAACTCTCGCATTTCGCCTTTGATTCACAGGCTGCTTCGTGGACTTTCAACCGCTGTCGAGCTGCGGACGCATGCCGCCGCTGCTCGTTGGATGTCACAACCACAACCTCCGACGCAAACGAAAGATGGCAACGGCAACAACGGCAAGGGCAAGGGGGTAGCAGAGGACAAAGGCGAGGCAGGAGGAGTAGCGAGCTGTGGGGGGGGAAGGTCGGGAAGCTGGCGTCCTCAAAACCTTCGGAAGATTTCGCGAGAGAGGGACGAGCAGATGGCGGATCAACTACAGCAGGTGCGGCACAATTACCAACAATAGCAATTCTTCCGAGATTTGCACGAGAGTTTCACCCGTGATATCCATGTCTCTTCGCTCCGTAGAAAACCGTTTCGCATGTCAGCTGCTGTGGATGCCAAGAAGAAATAGCTGGAGAGGATGGATGCTCTATGTGCATGCTCGGGTGGGGTTTGTTTATGATGTTCCACCGCATGATCCTCTAGAGTGGGGACGGATCCCGCAGGGTACTTGCCAGCCAGGGCAAATGTTGGCGCTGTGATGCGTTTGATTTCGCCAGCCTCGAGGTGTTTGGGTTTGTTCGACCTCCAGAACGCCTTGGAGGGCGGACTTGGGCACACCCTATCCCCGGTGGTGGCAGTATGTCCTCTGTGTACCCCCCTGATCAAATCATGAAGTAGGATATAGTCCCTGTCCAGAGTTGGAATTTTCGAAGTTCCCCATTCTTTTTTTTTCTGTACATAAAACTCCCTTGTTGAGGCAAGCATAGGATCTTTTTTTTGCCAGTCATGCTAGAAACTATGCCCAAAACTGTCTGTCGTGCTCGTTTTTTGGTCAATCCTTACTAGATTCGGCAAAGTATGCTCGAATTATGCCCAACACAATTCGATACAACTCGTTCGTCTTTTTGACTCCCGAGCATTATGGGGAAGGCCCTAGGACAGTGCATCCTTGTGTGTGCACCCCGCATGCCTGGGGCTCAGCACATTGCTAGCGCCACGGGAAGGGTAAGCAGTACTTTCTTGGGCATGCATGCGGCCTCCCGCGACAGCGGCACAGCACAGCACACACACCCCTCCCTCGACGTGGTGCTCGGCTATTGTAATCATGGGCAGGTGTCGCACAAGGTCGCGAGGCTCTAGGGGGAGGGGGAGGGGGCTCCGTGGCATCAATGATCCAACAACAGGGGGCGGTGCCGGCCTCGGAACGGGTTCTGGGAGCGGACTCTCCGGTGACGTCGGCGGCGGTGGCGGAGGCAGGCGGGGGTAAGGATAAGGACAGCCTGGAGTGGTCCGAGGTGGGGACCGAGTGCCAGAAGAGGGTCTACATCTGTACCAACAGGCAAGGGGGGGGAGGGCATGCCTTAGATGTTGACCACGCGTCCTCGAGAAGACGGAGCTTTGTTCCCACAAGACCGACCACTGATGGCCAATCGCCGCTTCCTACTTTGCCAAAGGTGGCTGGAAATATTTGCGTTCCGTAGTCGTTAGCCCATTGACCTCGCATCCCTACACTGCCGGGGCGGAGCGATACGCCGGTTTCCGGGCTATGTTTCACAAGGACCCGAAGCTGCACATGATCCTTGCGTTGGCTCTGGCAAAGGGGTGGGGAGGGGGGGGGCGAAGGATAGTTCAGCAGCACAACAACGGAACAGCACTGGTTTTGTAGCGGTCGCGGTCATCTTGATGGTTGGCGACTAACTTTTGGTGGAATTTAATGTCTTTTGCGTAGGAGGTGTGCGGTGCGCTTTCTGCTTGAACCTTGACGAGATACACGGACCGCCTACGCGGGATTTTAAGAGTATCTAGAAAAAGAATAGGGAGGGGGCACGCAGACCCTATCCCTTACCCAAACCCTAACCCCAAAGCACGGATGGAATACTTTATCCCATATGTTTTCTTAATCGATTTTGCTGCGTAGACTACTGAGATACACCCGGTATTTACGCGGTGTGAAGTCCGTGTCGCGCTTGGGGTTCTCTTGCTAGTCTAAATGTCTCCAAAAAATCTCAACACATATCAGCGATCAACCTTCAGGATGGAACGGATCCGGTTCACTTAAGGCTCTTGTGCCGCCGATTGTCTCGAGGACGAAGGTCTCGACCAACAGCAACGATCCTCTTGCGGATGTTCGCCGAATTGCCTCGTTGCTAACCCAGGTGGTGCATGGAGAAGGGCTCCTCGGCTACACTCGGGTCCTTCGTAGGGCTCGCGCCTGAAGGGGAGGTGCTGGTGCAAGGGGTCAACTGCCTCGGCAGGTACTGCTTTCCCGCTTGCACTATACAGTCGTACGCAGTATCACTTGTCTCGTCCCTCTTGCCCTTTCCTTTCCCGCCTCTTCCCGCTCTCTACAACGCCGTTTTTGTCGTCACCTTGTGTGTGTGTGTGTGTGTTTTTATTATTAGCATCGACCGCGCTAACCGGCTGACCAATGAAAAGACGTCAGTCTTAGTGCGGTTGAAAACACAAAACACTTCTATCTACCATGAACTGGGACCCCGTGAGGGGGCAGCATGGGGGAGGCTAAACTATCCTTCGGATTAAAAACAGAAACAGCAGCAACAGACGAAAAATGCACGCGTCTACCAAGGCTATTACCTAGTACTCGAGTTCGTTTAGGAGTACTTTCACCAGTGTCCTCCTTGTTTTCGCTACCATCATTCTGATCCTCATTTCGACAAGAAGAATCTCTGGGCAGTTCTTCCCTAGCCCTACGTTTCTTGTTGTGGGGAAGGTCATCTGGCTCAAACCCTTTGCTCTCTTCCACTCCTCCATGTTTTTCTGCTGTGTGTGTGTGTGTGCGTGGTTCTGCCTACCGCGAAACAGTCTCGTTTTTTTTTTCCTTGACGTGTGCAACCAACAGGGTGTTTGGTTTTTGTTGTGTGATTTTTGGATCAATTGGCGTATGCATGGTACTAGGTGTGTCGGTTGTACCAGAACCATCGGAGAGGCCGCTTGTGCCGTGCGTTTCTTTCTCCATGGTATCGCCGAGGTAGGTAGATTGCGAAGAGCATGTTGTCAGCGCGCGCGAATACGCGTCCTTGCTACTTGCTGCTGCCATGCGTGTTGACGGGCAAATAGATCCACACACCCCATTTATGCTGTTGTGCCGCTGCCGCTGCCGCTGCCGCTGCTGCTGCCGCTGCTGCCGCCGCTGCTGGTGATGCTGCTGGTGCTGGTGCTGTGCAACGTGAAGGTGTAATAAGGGGCCTAACGTGCGAGTGCGGCAGGAGAACGGGAACTGGCTGGAGTTCAACCGCATCGAGAACGTGGAGCGCGTGTACAAGATCCTCAGGGATTACCTGGGTGCTGATGTGCGTACGAACGATCGTACGTACGTGCTTGTATCGCTGCAGCAGGCTTTTTGATGATACCGAGAAGGAGTACCCGTAATCAGCCAAGGAGCAACCAACAGCCTCAACAACCAAAACTCTCGACAGCATTCGTGCTTGCATCTTTGTGGCAGTATTTGTGTGATACTGTACCAAGAGAGACGGCATGGGGAAGGTCTCCTAGTTGCGGTGTACCAAGGCTGATTACTTCACTTCTATGAGTGTCCGGTGGAAGTCGGTTACCCGCGGACGGCTCAGGACGGACGTGGCTCTCGATTCCCGAACCGGCAGCGCGTTGAGGCTGCCACTTGACGCGCGGGTTCTTTTGACGTTGCCGGGATTTCATTATTTCGTCCTATCACTTGTTATGCCGGAGGTGTGCACATGTAGAATACTCTCGTTGCGTTGAGTTTGCTCCCGCGTGGGATGACGTCCCCCGTCCCCGTGATTGGCCCGTTGTCTTTGCGGTCGGCACGTTCTGGTGCGTTCAGAAGCCGAAATCAAACCATCAGAATAAATTGCCCGAGCTGATTAGGCTAGTGGTTTGGTCGGGTCCTTACAAAGTTAGTCGTCGTTTAGCTGACAAGTCTACTAGTTTGGTTGGGCTTCCGTAAAGTTAGTCGTGGGTTCGAGACTCAGGCTGATGAACACTCGGGGTGTTTTTTTCCTAAGACCCCGGATACTCTAACTACGAGGACGGTTTCGTTTGCTTGGCCGGTTTCCAAGAAGGCGGCGTTATGCCTCAAGCACAATATACTGGCCAACGCTGCCTTACGACGACGGTATCGTGCTCCTGACAGGTTTCCAAGGAGGCGGCCTTGTGTCTCAAGTACAACTTCCTGGCTAACGCTGCCTTGGACCGCAACGAGGTGACCCTGGCCATCGACTACTACGATAAGGCCATCGACACCGGCTACGCGGATCAGCAGGGTGTATTGCTGGTGAGGACAAGTTGTGGGAGGGAAGGGTATTGGTGCGGGACAGCAGTTGTAGATGATGAAGTGAGGCCATCGGCACCGGCTTCGCGGACCAGCAGCAGGGTGTATTGTTGATGAGAACAAGTTTTTTTTGAAGGGGGGAGAATCGCGGTGCTGGAAAGCTTGTACCACGTGATGATAAATAGAAACGGGAGTGGGGCGGAGTTGCGGGGTAGCCATGCACCTTGCCTTTTGCTGTGGGCTTTTCGCAGTACCATTATCATTATCATGGTCATTGTCGTTATCATTATCATTCTCATTGTTGCTATCACCATCATTATCATTATCCTTATCATTTACCGTTATCATTCTCCCCACGCTTCTCGGATAAGGCTCGAGATACTGTGGCAGCAGCAATGAAAAACTCTTACTTCTATTGACGTGCTTCTGAGCACGCCATCTCTACCGCATATAATAGTCTCCTTGGCGCACAGGGTGCTCTTGGCGTCATTGGCGGTTGTGTGCCGGACATTCGTCCCCTTTCCGACGCGTCTGATATGGTCTTGCTTGTGTGAGACCATCGTACATTGCCATGAATGCATGTGGAAATAAAGGGGTGGAGAGCATCCACAGCGCTGTGTTGTACGCTGAATGAACCGAAGGATAGAAAAAAATGATAATGTCTCGCTTGTATCATATGTAAACTTCCTGGAGAGAAAGCATCATGAATACTGCGGGCACCTACAGCCTTTCTCTCAACTTTGGTCTTTCTCTAGAGGCTCCATGTCTATAATAGGTGTAGAATCAGTAAACTATTTGCCTGTGCCCCATGCGGTCATCACGATCAGACACTACGATGCCACCCATCCAATCCACCAGGTGATGAGAGCGACGGCCTTCATCCAGAGGGCCTACAGCCACGGCCGAGCGCTGACCGAACTCCTCCAGAAGGTCGTCGTCGCCAGGCCGACACAGACGACGCTCGATGTCTTGCACGAGGTGAGTGGGGGTGTGTGTGTGGACACGCCGGGTTACCCATTCGCGCATCATGCGAATATTTCTTGCCCTGTGTCGGTATGCCCCCTCCAGCGCGCGCTCACCCACAAACACGACCCGCCCGAAGCGTGTTGCATGGGATGGGCTGGAGGAGGGAACACGCCTCCATAAGTAAGGCGAAGACGAAGGGTACTGGTATGTGTTTTTGAGCGTATCGGGGCAAACAAAATTCGCTGCTGGACGGGTTGGAGTAGGTAAATTGGATTGATTGGTGGGAGAACACAACAGGATGGGAACGTCTTACGTGTAACCCCCGATGGCTGTGCTGCGTGACATTGGACCGGGGCGGTTAAGGTTGTTTAGGATCTCAGTACAGTACTCTGCCACCGAATCCCAATCGCAACTTCCGAACAACGAACTCTTGCGCACTGTTCTGGGGCCGCTTCAAAGTCGGAGGACTGCCTTCGCGAGACTGATAAATTTACATGTCAGGAAAAAGAACAGGGAGGGCGAGCGCAGAACCTATTCCCCTAACCGTAGCCCAACTTCCCAGATTCTATGTTACATGCAACATGTTGGCTTTATCGGAAATCCCTGCAGAGGCTACTGAAGTCGGAACCACAATATGTCGATCCTGACTGTTGTTGGTATTGCCGACAAGCAAAGTATAAGTATGAGCTTCGTCCCACGGACACGGGCGGCGCGCCATGTGATATGATGTAATCCTTACCCTTCCCCGAATCTATCTCCCGTCATCCTTGCCACGCTTCTCCACGACCCTAACCTGTGTAGCAACCTGGAGATGCTCGCCACATCGCCTTAACTACAGTTGTGGGCCCTGGCAAAGTGCTTGTTGAATAGTGTAGGGTGCCGGTATTGTGCCTGTGTTTTCGGCTCGCACACACAGCGCGATAAAAATATATCAGGCAGGAACCGCAGGAGGGGGTCTAACCCCCCCCTCCTATGTGACCCCGGTTGGGTCGTCTAGCTGGTAGAAGTGGAGGATAGGGGCCAGCGGGGCAGATGACAGTGTCCAATGATGGGGGGGTGTACTCATAGTCGTGCATGCCGTTGTCGTTAGACCATTGACCTCGCATCCCTACAAAGCCGGGACGGAGCACGCCGGGTTCTCACCGGACCAGGCTCTCACATCACCAAGCGCGAAGCGCCGTGAGATATTCGGCGAGTCGCATGAAGGGTGCGCGGCATCCTGCTAAGGGTGTTCGGCATCTTGTGCTTACTTCCTCGCGTACGGATGCAGCTGCGTATGACATAATTTATTTTCTGGTGCTTTCACTCCCAGAGACAGTTGTAAGCACTGTGAAACTGCCCAGGGGGTGCTTAACCATTTTAACACAACGTGGTGCGATCATCCCCCTTGCGNCAGCTGCGTATGACATAATTTATTTTCTGGTGCTTTCACTCCCAGAGACAGTTGTAAGCACTGTGTAA